CTGCTTTCAACCAATTAGTGTTTTGATAGATAACCGTCGTTCTCCTTTAGGAAGACACTGTTTTAACAAACAAGGTAGCAACCTCCGTTTTTCTACATATCCTGGGGAAATAAAGGACCACAAAAGTTCATTTAGTAAAAACATTTCTGATCTCAATCGGTATGCTTTGGAAAGGCAGTACCAAGCCATTCGTCTGCATCGCAACTCGTTAATTCGTGAGAATTCTTTTTTAAAAAATACAGTTGAAAATCTGAGACAAGACATTTGTGTTTTAAACCAAACAATTGAAAACTTAGCACTTGATGCAGAAATGAAGATTGGTATGCTACAAGTGATGCTTAGAGATCAAAATGCTAGTTCAACAGTTTTTATACCAGAAAGTTTTACGGCTGAAAATTATACAAATGACAGTAATATGGTGCAAAGTTCACTTTCACCTTTTGCATCAGAGTATACACCAAGATTGCCGATGTTTTCTCTTCCTTTATTTGTTCCCCCACCCCCTCTTGGCTTTTATGAATTTATGACACAACAATTTCCAAACGATGTTATATTTCCCCCAAATTATAACTTTCCGAATATGCATATGGCTCCACAAAATGACGAGTCTGATGTTTGTGAGCAACTTACCGAAATGGGAATAAAAATCTCGAATACTCAATAGAAAAATGGTTTTTAATGAAGTTACATGTTTTTAAGTTGAAGATTATATAGCAAAAGCTATGCAATAATTCAGTCGTTTATTTTTAGTTAGTGTGCAACTGTAATACATATGAACTTTAAAATATTTTGATATTGTATTGTAGTAAATTAAGTGTAAACTAATTTGTAAATTATTGTTGAAAATAAATTTTTGTAATTAAAAGTTTGTTTAGTGTTGTTTATGTTGTATTGTTTATGTAGTTAATTATTAAATAACTTAAATGACTTTTATATTTTTTATTTTTAAGAAATCCTTTAAAATGTTTTAAACAAATAAACAAGTTAGTTTTATTTGAGGCTTAATTTAAACTATTTGATTTATTAATTTTTTGAGTAAAGGGATCAAAATTTGCCAGAATCGAAAATATCGCACAGATTTATAAATAATGATTTTTTTTTTTAGTTTTTATTTAATATATTTCAATAATACAGTTTACATTTTTATCTTAACAACCTCTTTGTGTTGATTATTGATTCTTTTGATCTCTAAAATTTGTTGCATTTATAAAATGTTTACTTGTTTAATTTGTTTTATCTGTAAATAAAAATTGCCTTATCGGTATTTGTTTATCTCGGTAAGAAAATTCATTTAATCAACTTTCGATTGCTTTTTTCAAGTATTGTGTGTAATTGTAGTTCGAGTTTTTATATCCGGTTATAAATTTGTTCAAATTCTCAGTTATTTTTAGCTGTTAAGTATCCAAATCTTCAGTTTTTTAAAAAATAAATTTTTTTTTTTTTTTTAAATCGTCTCCTTTTAAACCATCTCAATGTTCGTTCTTCAGTTTTAATAAATAACCACTTTTCTTCTTCTTTTAAATTGTTTCAAATTCTTGACAATCAATAAAGGCGTAGATACTGAAAAATCGCTGTTTTGACCAATGTGTTCCGGTCTGATAATTTTTTATTTATTTGTTTATATGTATACGCATACATATATAAATACAAACATTTACACACATACATATATATACACGCATACATACATACATTTTGTATATATAAATTTCCTCTTTTTGAAATCATTATAATCATTATAATCATTATTATGATAATAATAATAGTTATAATAAAACAATAATAATAAAAATAATAACAATAGTAACAAAAATTATTAAAAAAGAAAAATATACAAAACTACAGCAAAATAACTTAAGCAAAGTTTAAAAAAAAAGTTTAAACATAATAGGTTAAAAAATGTTTAAAATGTTAAAATCGACGGAAAAAAAGTAGTTACTCTTCGGGATTGTCCATAAAGTACGTACGCTCGGAGGGGGTCTGTAAATGACGTAAATGAGATAGGGGGCAGTGGGTAAATTATAAAAGTAAGAAAACACTAAACTGTTGGGTAGATAGGTTAAAAGCGTACGTACTTTTAGAGAGGGGGAGGGTACTCAAAAAAACGTCTATCAAAATATGGGGGGAGGGGGTTGGGAAGGTCGAAATAAAAGCGCACTTACTTTATGGACGATCCCTTGTATTAACGGACATCAAGTCAATGAATGTTACAATGATAATAATAACTGCAATAACCGTGTTTAAAAGAGGAAAGGAGAAAATTATTTAAAGGTGACTAAAGACTAAATAGTCAAAACTAAATTAAGTAAACAGAAAAAAGTATAAATATACCAACAATTATAACGACAATTAAACTAATAAAAACAGCGATAATATAAAAAAGGTAAAACAGCAACAAAAAAATTAATGTTTAAGTACACATTAAGGAATGTTTTTATACATTACTGTTAGATATCCTAATCATAGTCAAATAACTACATAAACATTTAAACATTCTTAACATTTAAGCAACACCGTTTTATTAATTCCTTATTATTAACAATATTGACTGACATTTCTAAGCAGCATTGATTTCTTGTAAAGTTGTATCCTCAAAAAAATAAATGCTCTGTACCAAACGCTCTGTACCAATCGATATTCCGATATTGGAATTCAATAATCTACCTCGTAATCAAAGAAATTCTTTACCTGAGAATAGGTACAAGTCTTGATAGACTAATGCAAAATGTCTATGATACCTGCATTGAGAGGAAATTTATTTAAGGTGGTAGTACCCCAAAAAATAGGCTAAAATTTTCTTTTTTTCAAAATTTCTGTTTTTATAATTTTCATTAATTTATTATATCCTCTCTTATAATAATAAAAAAAAAATGAAAAAAAAAATAATCCAAACGTCTAAATTATCCTTAACAGATTTGGTACTGGAAAATAAAGTGCCCTAGCAACGGCCCTTAAAGATATATTTCTTGCAATATCTTGAAAAATACGTCCAATTTATGTAGTTTTTGTGTGTGCTAATTATTAAATTGTTCCTTAACAACTCTTGTTGGTTTCCGATCTAATATCCATAAATTGAAACCTCATATTCGTTTCTGTAAGACGTAGATAATTACTCTTTAACAAAAATTTTTTTCATTGATGGGTTTTTTTTGATAAGTTTCCTGATAAATGGGTTCAAAAAAAATAGATATGCTAAAGCAAGAGTAAAGAAAAAAAAAATTCATAAATTAGAAAAAGATTTTCTAAATAATTCACATGCTTTAAAACAAACTGTTTTGTTTGCACATTCACCAAGCAATGTAAGTTAATCGGTATCTGGAAAAAATATCTAGACGTAGAAAAAGAGTGTAATACAATTATAAACTCATATTTATTTTCAAGTTTGTTGAAAGGAATTGAAAGATGCTCTAGAATGTTATTCGTCAATATTGTACACGATATTAATCAAAAAGAGGGTCTTTCTCACACTTTTTCTTAAGATTTTACCTGGACGATGAATTTTTTAACTTCAAAATGATTAAAAAATAAGAATGAAGTAATCAAAGGTAAAAAATTAAAGAGATTATCTACTGTGTTATCTTTTCGAGATATTGGGCAAGGATACATAGCAATTATTACTTTTTGTTATTTAATGAATATGTCTTTTGGTATGACAAAACGTGGTTACCATAAAGTTAATAATAAACTTTCTGTTGCTTACTTTGAAACCTCTAGAGTGAGTACAAACAGAACATACGTAATGAAAAATTTGTTAAAAATTATTATGATGAATTAATTGTCAATGTTGCTGTTAGTTTAGATGGTTTATGGCAGCGCAGAAGATACTTCTCAATTAATAGTATAGTCACAGCAATATCTCATGGAAATTGAATTGATACTGTTGCTGAAACAAAAAGTTGTTACCCTACAAGATTAGTTTGAGAAGATAGGTACTCCAGCTTACGAGAACTGGAAGATTACACATTATTCATAAGGGTAGCTCAGGAAGTGTGGAATCTTTAGGCCCTCTACAAATATTCAACCGATCTGTCAAAGAGCTTAAAATCAAGTACATGACATACAATGCTGATGGAGATACCAACTTTTATATGCAAGTTTGTGATGCAAATCCATACAAAGAAGAAATTATTTAGAAATAGTTCTTGGCAGTGATGCGTTGCTCAAGAAAGGTTTACATGGCCTAACTCAAAATGTCAATGAATCGCTAAATGAGATGGTTTGGACTCGCGCACTCAAGAGTTCATGTGGAAAGAACAGTTGTTGAAATGGCTTTGGCCTCTACAATAATTAGCTTCATTAATAAAGTTCAGTTTTGTAATCGGCAATAATAGGCTATATTTATTTCGTATTTAATTAAAAAATTTTAAAAATATTTTTATTTGATTTGATTTACAAATACATTTGTATTTCCATAACTAAGTTGACTGTGTTTTTTTTTGTTGAGAAAATTAAGAGATTCGTTCTTTTTTTGTTATAACAAACAATATTTTTCATTTTTAACACTAAAAATGTTTATCTTGAGTATTTTGAGAAAAAATATTTGTGTTTTTCCTTAACCTAAAATACAAATGTTTGTATATCTATTTGGAAAATATTTTTTACATACAATTGTATTCGGGAATCTAGAATTAAAGTATTTGTATTTGATCAAATGTATTTGAGCTCAACCCTGAACGTCGCAATTAGTACTTAAGCGAAAAACAATACTATATACAAGTATCAATAAAAAAGTATTTATATTCAATTCTAAAGCAATATAAGATACGAGTGGCAAAACATTCCTTTAGGCTATCAAAAAAGTCTTATCCTATTTTAACTTATCGTGACAACGTTCTATAGAAAACTGAAAAAAAAAAAAAAAAAAAAAAAAAAAAAAAAAAAAAAAAAAAAACCAAAACATAACCTTCCCCAAACAATTAAAAAAAAAACCTTTTTAAATAAAAGCTTATTTAGTAGTTGATTATTCCGCACAAAAATATTTTTGGGCAATAGACGAAAAGTGCTAAGGTATTATTTTATTTCATAAATATTTTTATTAATTTGATTTGATAATTTTATTTATAAATAAATAATTTTATGAATTGTTTAAAAAATACCATCCGATGGCTGCAGCGACTGACGAAGTTTTTGGATAATCATTGTTATATATAAACTCTTTTGCATCTTTTATAGGTAAGTAAAACAATTCAATAAACTCTCCATCGAGTTTGTTGCCGCCTCCTTCATTAACTATCATTTCATCAGTAACTTCAGCAAAAAATACTGTCGTAAGATTGCCAGAAAAACCTACAGCGTTATACTCAAACAATGGCTTTATTTTATCAATAGAAACTTGGTAACCAGTTTCCTCCAATATCTCAGCTTGAGCTATTTCAACAAGAGTGCAGTTTTTGTCAACTATTCCAGCGCAGAGTTCATAAGAAACACCTTTTTCAAATGGAACAGATATTTTTAACTCTTTTTCTTTTTTTTCCAAAACAGATATATTTTCTGAGTTCACTCTTTCATTGATCGCCATATAAAGAGCTAATAGGGAAAGAAAAAGATCAAAGATTATAATTAAAAAGTTTAACAGCTTAGGCAAAACACGCTAAAATATCACAAAGAATTTCAAAAAACAAAGTAAAAAAAGAAATAAACAAAATATAAACATTTAGGGAGTTAAATACTTTTAAAAGAGTTTAAAACTTTTCTTGCTTAGAACAGGTTGTTTCAAATACACTCTAGAATATTGAAACACAATATTATATATATCAATTACCATTGATTATTAGTTAAAAAGACGGCATTTTTTTAGTGCAGCTGACGCCTAAATACAACCTTGTTGTATTCCTAAACAGAGTTAAAAGTACAAATAATTTTTTTTGCAAAAAATCACAGAATTAAAGCGCGAGAAACTAAACAACGTAGGGGAGAGTGGCCTAAAACGGCCCAACCAAAAATTACGAAAAATATATTTTTCAGAAAATTTAATCTATGCTCTTCAGTGCAATATCAGAAAATTAAAAGTATAACTATGTCTTACGTTTTTTTTTTTTTTGTATGTATTTAAGTGCTCCCAGAAGTCCTTACGGTCTTATCATAGAGCACCGCGGGAGAGCATTTAACAGGAAGTTCACGCCTCCTTCCGTACCAATGTCGCTTGTTAGGCTAGAGCTTGCGTCGAACCCCGGACCTCTGGGTTCTGAGCCAGAACTCTAACCACTGCGCTCATGAGAAGTTGAGAAGCAACAGTTGAGAAGAGATATACTAGGGGCCCATTTCACCCTGGAGTTAGGCTCCTTATTTAACGACTGAATAAAACCCAAATTTTATTCAAGAATTAACTGTGACTAATATGTTGATAATAGTCATAGTCATCTTTTCATGAATCGTATTAAAAATTGACACTCTGAGTAAATTCAATTGAGACAGAATGTGCCTATATCTCTCCCGTTACTGAGTGAAAGAAACTGCTATTGCAGTATAATCAAAAACAATTCTTGCGGTTGTCATTTGTAGTAAATTATTTTTCTTAGTTACCTTTTTTTGTAACTTTCGTTACAATATTGCTTATCAATATTATTTACAAATTTGTTTGAAAAAATTTTCATGAAAAAATTTTTAAACTCGTTTTAACTTGTTTAGAGTATACCATTGTTTTGTAGTTCAAAAAGTAAATTAATTGACGATTCTCCTATTAATGTGCAAATTACAAGATAACATGGTAGAATTTTAGAAAATATAACACAAGAAAATTTATTGTTTTTAATAATTACGTTAAAAAGTATTTTGATCATCAAAATTTCAAAAGTCTTTTCAAATGCTCTTTTGATAAAAAGTTTTGCTATAAAAAGCTTATTGCCTAAGAAAGAAATTTGATAGAGACCGTCTCATCATGAGGGGTACCCATTATAATGCACTCTCCCCTATAACAAAAAACGGCACATTTTTTTAAGGAAAATGAAATATTGTCTGAAAACTAAGAATTCGAAGTAATTGATTCAAGATAACAAACAAATCTTTTTTGTTTTTGAAAGTGTTCTTTCAAAACGTTTTTTTTAAAAAAGAAAAGTGTTTTCGCAAACATTTTCTTTATACATCTCAGTCACTTCAAATTTTATCATAAAAAATCTAAATTTTCGATACAAAAAAAAAAATAAAAAATAAAAAAAAAATCAAATTGTCATTAAAGATCTAAGTTGGTTAAGGGTGTAATTATCTTTATTATTTTAATGAATTGATATTAGATTATAAACCTGCAACTTTATAATCTGTTTTACAGGCAAATTTTAAAATATATAGGGTAAAAATGAAATAATTAAAAAGATATGGGGTAAGGGATGTCCATAAATTATGCAACGCTAAATTCAACTTATAGACACAACAAAAAAGATCAAAAGGTTTCCTTCGCAGACCCTTAATTAAATTAAGGGTCTGCGAAGGAAACCTAAAAAAAATCGCCCTTAAGTAAAAATCGCCGCGCAAATGAGCAAATAATGATCACCTACATCTATTTATGAAATATGCTAAGCGTCGCTAAACACTTCTATTTTTGAAATATGTTTACAGTAACGACATTAAACATTTAACAAGCAGAATTTTTTACCTGGTCTAAACTGCTTTACAAGAATAAAAGCTTGCTTTGTTGTATTAAAAAGAAGAATCGCTACTCTAAAATTATAAACGATAACTATGTTTTCATTAAGAACATAGCAATCAGTTATGATTACTTTAAATAAAATTATAAACGATAACTATGTTTTCATTAAGAACATAGCAATCAGTTATGATTACTTTAAATAAAATTATAAACGATAACTATGTTTTCATTAAGAACATAGCAATCAGTTATGATTACTTTAAATAAAATTATAAACGATAACTATGTTTTCATTAAGAACATAGCAATCAGTTATGATTACTTTAAATAAAATTATAAACGATAACTATGTTTTCATTAAGAACATAGCAATCAGTTATGATTAAGAACATAGTAACAGTTATGATTAAGAACATAGCAACAGTTATGATTACTTTAAATCTTAGGAAATACAAACAGCAATTTAAAACAAAAAAGTTATACGCATCATGTGCTTTGATATAATCCCATGTCCTTTTTACTCCATTCTAAAGTTAAATATATTTATAGTAGTAAATTAATATTAGTACAAATGAACTAAGACGTATAAAAGACTAAAAAATTAATCTACCTGATTGAACGTAACACGTGAAGGGACAACAAATTGTGAATCAACCATTGGCAAAACTTCTAGATTGCTAATTTCCAAAAAATTCATTTTAAAACTTTTAATTCACAAAAATCCAAAAAATGTTTTTTTCGACTAGAAAAACAATTATTTCTATTTTCTTGATACAATCTTTAAATTTTATTTCTATAAAAAGATAATTGTTTAAAATAAGTCGTCACATAATAATTACATCATTAGTGATATTATAGTGGATTAGTTAAACACGGAGAGAAGACACTTTGTGCATGTGTGCACATTAGTACATAAAAATATAATTTTCAAATATTCGAAAACAAAATATTTTTACTTTTATAACAAAAACTAGATTATTTTACAAAGATGTAAAATTCAGACTTTTGGCGCCCCCTCTAAACTTATATAAACTTTGAAAAAATCCAACAGACTTGCTAGAAAGAACCAATGGAAAGTTTTAGAAATAGTCAAATTTTTGGAAGTAGGGAGCGTTAGATACACTTTGTATCACCTTTTCATGTTATTACTAAAGCGAAAAAAAAGTTTAATCAAATATGTTTATGAATATGTTATGTTTAATTAAATATGTTAAGGAACAGAAAAAATAATTAACTATAAAATATAAAACATCAAATATTAATGACATAACTATATTTCATAGACCTGCTACATTAAAATAATATATTAATTTAAATAAGTTAATTTATAGTTTACATTAAGAAACATTTAAAAAAAAATTATAAAACAATTATAAACGTAATCAGGTTATTTACAATTTGGGTTTGACTATTTACAATAAAAATCTATATTGCAAAGTGCATCAATGAAGAAAATTCTTCAGCGTTTTCTGTTTTTAATTTTAGTTACAGTTAACTAAAATGAATTCGAGAAGCTTTATTTATATCTTTACTGATAAAAAGGAGATAAAGATATTTTTACTCCCCAGTACTGCAAGATCTTCTATCCTATTAATTCTTCAATTCGTTGCAATATAATAGGTTCTTTTGTTGCAGCTTCATTTTTAAGCTCTATACCAATGCAATCATAAAGTGTATGAATGAACTTTACTAGAGCTTCTTGCATTGATATATGACCAGGAGATGACTCATTACTATAAGGCATTGCTAATAATTTCCATAACACTGGAAGTATCACTCTATGTATAGTGCCAGGCTTTCGTGCAAACACTGTTGGAATGATATCTGAACCAAAAAAATAAACAAAAATATGTGGATTAAAAAATCAGCAAAAGAGTAGTTTGATGTAATAATAAAAAAGCACACACCATTTAAGAGATCAGTTAATTCTGCTCTGTTTCTTGAATTAGAATACTGGACTGCTGTGGCTAGTGGCAACACAAGAGTGTTATTATCTAAAATAAAAAACAGCAATAAAACAACTTAATTAAAAAAAACTACAATCAAACGTAAAACTAGTTTAAAAAATGTGATTATTTTGCTAATAAAATAGGTGCTTTTCCTCTATAACATCTTTTGCTGTTCCATATATGCGGTACTATTTTATTGTAGTAATATAAAAAAAGCCTTTTGAAGCTCCTTCTCTAGCCATTTTGAAATAAATAAATCAGGTTTAGGCCATGGCTAACACCTTAACATCTTCAAGATGAACATGTTTAGGTCCTATCAGAGTTTAAAAAACTCACATGTTTATTTTCTTGGACCAAGATTTTTAACATGCCCTCTAAATACAAGTAACTTCCTCTGCAAATTTCTGTTTCTTACATGCCTGTAACATCATTTGCAAACTTCTGTTTCTAACATGTCCTCTAAATACCTGTAACATCTTTTGCAAGTTCCTTTTTATAACATGCTTCTAAATACCTGTAACATCCTTTGCAAATTTCTGTTTGTAACGTGTCCTATAAATTTCTGTAACATCTTTTTCAAATTCCTTTTTATAACATGTTCTGCCAATAACTGACATGTTTGTAACATCTTCTGGATATTGCTATTTATTAACATGTTCCACAAATTTTTATTTTCGCCATCTTTTTTAAAAAGTTCTTAACCTTAATATATTTTATATTACATTATTTTATATTTGATAACAAGGCTTAGTAAAATTAAAGTAGATTTTTAAATAAAAATACCAGTTTAAAAAAAAAAAAAAAAAACATTTACCAACTAGTTTAGTCAAGGATACCATGCAATCTTTGGCAGCACTAAATATGGTATCATTTTTAGATGCCAATAAAGTTTTTAAATTCTCAATTAGAATTGTAGCTGCAGGTGAAATTCCATTACGTAAAATTGGAATACATCGATTTAAAATTTGCAAAGCATAAAGACTTACCTAAACAAAATTTTAAAATAATGTTTCTACAAAAAATATACAAAAGTTTAATTATGTGTTTCTAAAATATTATACAAAGATATTACTTAGAATAGTATTTATCAGAATTATTATTATTACTATTATCATTACTATTAGTATTATGTTTGTGATATTTACAAAATAAATATTTAGTTATATAACATTCAAAAACTTAAACAGTTGTGTACTCCAAGACTTGATTGGTTGTCTTAACAGTTAAGTAAAATGAAAAAGATCAGCAAATTTTAGTACTTGTAGCACCGGAAGAGGTGGTTGCATTACATAAGGTTCATTTAAAAATTTAGAAGTACACCACTGTCTAAATATCATAATACTTATTTTTATATATTTGTTCTTACTTTGCTGTTAGAATCACACAATCTTGGAGAAAACTTGTCGAATATCTTAATAAAAAAAATAATTGGATAAGTTAGAAAAAAGTAAATAAACTTATTAATCATTAAAACACATTTAACAATTTAAAAAGTAAACTGTTTAGAAGTAAACTTAGCATATTTAAACATGCATTTAACTTTAATAAAATTTTTAATAATAATTTAGAACAACTTGTCATAACTCCAAAACAGAGTTTTTTTAAATAGAATTTTGTAGAAAGTTAAAAAATACAAACATATAAGAATCATCTGTGTTTTAAAAAATTAAATTAAAAATACGAAATATTTAAAAAAAACTTAATTAAATTACTTAAAACTTTATTTAAGCTATGTTACTTAATCATTAAACATACTTATTAGTCAATAATATATTCACTATATTAAAAGTACTTATATGATAGTGTATATAAATATAATAAATATATATAGGCCTCGGCGGGAAACGAGAGCTTTAGCTATTGCTTTCGCCCACACTCCCCTAAAATGGTTTATGGGAGCAATTTATGGCTCTCACAAAAGTATAACTTTTATCACAAAAGTATAATTATCGTTGAAACTAAAATAAAAAACACAATGTCATTAACAAAAAATTAATTGCGTAATATACTGGAATGCTTTTTAAAAAGCACGGTTGTTACAAAAAAAATATTAAAATTAAAAAAGAGTGCCGATTTAAACGAGGAGCAGCTCGCACAGCTTCCCAAATTTGTTTTAGGAGAGCTTTTCTCTGCTCTCGTGCTCATTTATTCCTGCCGAGGCCCCTCTCTCTCTCTCTCTTTATATATATATATATATATATATATATATATATATATATATATATATATATATATATATATATATATATATATATATATATATATATATATATATATATATATATATATATATATATATACATTACAATGGTTGATGATTAGTGGGGTAGTGTTAGGGCAGTAGTGTAACAACCAAATGGACAAGGTAGACAAATATCAGGGGCCCTAAGCAATGAAGGGGCCCCTAAATATTTGAACAGGAAAATTTTCCTTGAGCTGACAAAACACTTGGAGTTTTAATAAATCTACAAAACCAAAGAAAAATTTAATTGGATTGCAATTGAATTGCTTGTTTTATAACAAAACTGTTATAATTTTGAAAAAACTTTTATTCTAAAATTAAACAGTTTATTAAATAAGTTTATAAAAACATTAAACTTCAAACTTTTGATAAGTTTATTTACTAAGTAATGAAATTACATGTAAAGTATACATCATATGTAAAATTACATATAAAATAACAATTAAAAAAAATGTTCTTTGACTCTTTGATACTGTTTTTTAATTTATTGGAAAAAAAGTTTTGATAGTGAATTTGCATTAAGTACATAATTTAATTTATTAATTTTGGCAGATGGTTTGTGGTAACAGGGCGCGACAAATCATTTTTTAAATAAACGTTGATGTTTGTATTTTTATTTATAGACAAACGTCTAATTTAAGAGGTATATGTCAAATAAGCCAGTTTTATTTTTAACTCTTTCAGCTTCAACTTTTTTTATCTAAACAATTTTTTATTAATTTATAAATGAGTTTTATTTACAAATAACTTTTAATCTAGTTTTTAGATATATCAAAGCTTATTTTTAATTTTTTATTAAATTCAAAACAAAATTTCACGTATTTGCAAAGTGCTAGCAAATTAATGATAAATAATATGCAATAATCTTATGACTGTAAACTATTATCCATTAATACAAAATGAATAGTGAATTTTTCTCAAATAAGTTTGTTATATTTATTTACGTATAAAAAAATTGTATAAACTTGAAGAATTTTAAATAAAAGGGAACTAAAAACAAAATAAAGTTGTTTTGACTTTTTTTTTTTTAAACCTTTAAAAATAATATAATATTAATTATTTAATAAGTTACTATATTAAGTTATTATTAAATACTTAATAAAATACTATTATATTTATAATATTAAGTATTTAATAATAAAAATATCATATAATTGGTGTTGTTAAACGCACAATGAAAAATAAAAACTATAATAAACATAATAGCTCTATAATATAGAACTATAATATAGAATATACTATATTCTATTAAATTATATATATATATATATATATATATATATATATATATATATATATATATATATATATATTTCAGCAAAACTTGAAAAAATCTATTCAAAACTTTTAAAAGTATTTTTAGTATGCAAACAAATGTTACTTTAATAATTACGACTAGCTGTCCGGACCCATAAAATACGGGTATAGGTAAATATAATATACACTGACCTTTTCTATACTTAAACTTTACTTGAATTTTTTAGCAAGCGGCAAAAAAAAAAAAATATACATATAGAAAAACTATACTTATTGTTTACCTTTTAAAGCTTTGAAAAAAAGATTTAATTAACTTTAAAAAGCTTTAAATAATTTGGTAGCCGTTTCAGCAAATCTCTATTTATTAACAGATTGGATATTACCCAGTGGGCACTGGACTAAATAAAGAAGTCTTTTAATTTTCAAGTGAATGTAAAACTAAAAAGTTTGATATATGTTTTAGTATGTTTTTAACATTACATAATTTGAAGAACGTTAGATATTTGCGTAAGTTAGATATTTTGCAAAAGTTAGTCAAATTTTGTTGACTTTTCTTATGTAAAAAAGTGCTGCTACTCTTTCTCGTTATTACTTCGGTTGCAATGGCTGCCATGAGTATCGTATCAAAAACTCTCCAATGAGTATTTACATGTTCCGTATTATATTATAATATGATAATAAGAAAATTAAAAAAAAGCACGCTTTAAAAGAAATCAATGTTTTGCAAGGTTTCTTTTAAAGTCAGGGTTCATTTTAACTAAAAATTTTAATGCTTTTGTAAACACATGTAAAAACCATCCTCAAACATAATTACTTTTTTCAGTTGCGTACTTAGTTATTAAACTTAAAAGTAACGCTATTGAAGAAAATAATGTTTTAGCATGGTTTGTTTTAAAGTCATTGAAAATGTGTTTTAAATTTTAGTAACTAATTGTTTCATTATTATAAATATGTTTTTTTTTATAATAAATAAAAAACTATCAATCGCATAATTATTTGGAAAAAAAGTAATGTGTTTGTTTTTAAAATTTATAAGTGAACGCCAATAATTCCATAAGTAAAAGTAAAGAAATACGATGTTCGTTTTTCTTAAAAACGTTTTTTTTTTTTTTAAACAAACGTTTGCACATTTGTTAATTTGTCGCGCCCTGGGTAAATTTAATATAGTAAAATTTAAATTGCATACGCTGTATTTGTACACGTTTATTAAACTCTCATTTAAATGCTATAATAACTTTTTCTCATTGTATCTTTGATGAAAAGGTTATATCCATCTGAAAGAAAAAAGCAAAAAGCAGAAGTCGCTGTTGACTTTTTTTTTCACAAACTCCAGATCTATCCAAGAAAATCAATTTGCTAAACACAATGTTTCTCTTCCTGACTTTAAATTAGCTATTATAAGGAAAAATGTTCATATAATCATATCTGCGCAAATAATAAATAACATTTAATAAATTTCTTTTTATAGTATCAACACTATAAATTCATTAAATAAAGCAATATAAGAACACGCGTATCAGAAAAAAATATAAATTAATTCATTTGTTTCATCAGCTCAATTTCTAACTATCGTGGTATCTTTACTCAAAAAACAAAGAGTTTTGTTAAAAACTATTCTACAGAGTGGACCATGTAAGCCAGTAGGGCCATTTGAGAAAGACAAATATGGGCAACCAGTATTTAGCAAATCATTTAGCTCGTTTTACTCTTCTGGAAACTTGAAAAATGATCACAATTGGCTTGCTTTTCCTTAAGCCTGGATCAGCCTTATTGTAAGTCTTGCTGGTTGTTTGCTGATCAATGTGATTTGAATCTTAATTGGCAGTTGATTAATGGTGTAACTGGATCATTGTCATTTAAATGAAAATATTAGACTGCATGGAAAGTCATGTGACCATATATCTGCTTCTAATGTCTATGCCAGATGGAAATTTGGAAATCGTTTAGACAACAATCATGAAAATGCAATG